AGTTGCATCTAATTTCAATTATCTAACTCTCAATTTTTGCATCGTATTCGAAGCACAAATCCCGAGCGCGAAGTTTTATAAAAAAGGATTTTAGCACCATATTCAAAAAAAGAGGTGCACAAGAAGTGATATTACACCTGAAGACTTAAGAATTCAGGAAATAAATGATTTTATAGCGCCTTCAACTGAGGACTTGCTGCATGTCGTTTAGAGGCCTCAATAATTATACATATAACAAAAGCTGAAAATTACATAATTTACCAAGAAAACTTCGGCTCAATAGAGTCACACCAACCAGGATTTATTCTGCAGTAGGTAAGCGCTGTAAAGCATGGTGAGTTCCAATGAAGCTTATCGCGAGACAGTGCACTTTCGAACGTTTTTCGTATCGATTACTGCTCCGAATGCTCACATCATTGTAAAATATCCCGTTCTGGATTTTAAAAAAAAGTTTTGAACGGCTTTTGGTTCCCTTGATCGCATGCTCTCATAGATTTCATTGAATTGAGTAAGCGCATAGATCTCATCATGGCCATTATGAAAAATTATGTTACTTTAAAAGCGATAGAAACTAAGTAGCTTGAGAAAAGACTAGTTTTTCCTTTTTGAATTTCAATGTCTAAACTACCCAACTCTAACCCTCTTCATTTAAGCAACGACATGAGAAGCCAAGGTGAACCACGACGTCCTGGCCGCTCAAAACCATTGCATAAATGGCAATTTCAATGCTATATGTCTTTCTCTTCGGTTGAGCATTACAAAATCTCACTCTGTCAATCTCCACATTTAGGTTTCAAAACATAGCGCTTGCGCTTTCATGGATAAGCTGGCTAAATGGCCGTCACTTCATTTGTTCATGTTTTAAGGGGACACTACGCTTGTGACAAAAAAAAACAATAAATAATTATATAGTCAAAAAATGCCTGCACGCTATTGTTTTCAAAAGTGCTCTTCTTAGCCAAGAACGGGCGATAAGATATGTAAGGTATTCCATGGATGTAAGGTATTCCATGGAAACTGTCCTTAATCCCAATTCGCTAAGCTGAACACCAAACAGGGAAGGAAGGAAATCGCTGACTCACCTCCGACGGTGAAGAGCAGTGAATGGCATGATTGTGGCTGGATAAACGTTTGTGTGTACCAGCGACGAGGTACTGAACGACAAATCTCTACATTTCACCCCTATCTGGTAATGTTTTTGATAGAGATTGTGGTTATGCACGACATGAACAGAAGAATTCACGAGGAGCAGCTGGATATTTAAAAACAACTATTGGAACTAGGAGTTAGTGAGAAGATGTACATAAGAAAAGCACAATTACACAAAGATAATCGAACCAAGCTGAAATGAAAAATAACTGCATTATTTGAACATCTAAAGTTGAGAAGAAAAAGTGAGCTCAATGACTTTGTGAAAGAAATAATAAATGT